AAAACAAAGTTAAATACATACTGTTTTTAGGCAATCCCCATCACTGGTCTTCCTCAATTAGCATAGATTATTAAGTGTTTATAAGCGTTTGGTACTTGTACAAGAAACGTACTTGGAAACATACTTATGAAGGAGTTCTAACCATCTTTTTGTATATTGAAATGGCTCAGTTTTACTGTCCACATTTCTCACTTCAAGAATTTTTATAAGATGTTTATGAGCATTGCTTTAGTGTGCCTAAATCTTGCTGAGGAGGGAAAACCCTGTGGATCACAATGGTCTGATCCCATTGTGCATGGGGTCGTTGTGAGTCAAAGGCCAACTCAGCAGCAGCTGACAGCAACAACAAATCTTACAGAACAGCTACTGTAAATTTACTGTCATTAATTGGCAAGGAAGTTGTTTTGTTAGTACGATAGTCTGCAGACCCAATGGGAAAAATGTAGATAAAAAAGTATGATTTTTGCACAAATTATAAGTAACAGTGATAAATAATAGCACTTTGTAAACAATTGAAGTTTTGTTAAGTGTTTGTAAAAAGTAATTTTATATAAGCAGAAATTGAGGCAAAAAAATAAAGACTCCTCGAATCATAGAAGTTTGCAGTGGTGAGTTGGAGTTAAAATCCAATAGTCTGCCTAGAGATTTTTGAGAAGCATGCATTAAAGGACCCCGTGATTACAAAGTTGTCGTCATAGGCCAGATTTGGTATATTTGCCTGTGTCAACTGTGAATTGAGATTTCTTTACTCGACTGTATTTCAGGAAATCGTCTGCTTCCAAGACTGCACAGAATGGAACTCAGCAGTTACCTCGTATTGGTGCTGGCGAAGTGGGAAAGAGCTTGGAAGGAGCTGTAGAGAGTGAAGACTCCTCAGTGCCCATGGTAGCGCCCAGCAGCTTCATTGATGCAAAGGTACTCTGAGCCGAGAGACTGATTTTGCTGCATAATCCTCTGCGTTCGTCTTCCCTTTATATGTAAAATTTACTTACCAGAAAAAATCTGTTGACTGTATTACATCTGTACTCCATTTAATGAAATATAAAGCAATTTCACCCAGATCCTTCCTCACATAAAATATCTGAGGAGAAGAAGATGGGGACAGAGAAAGAACAGAAGAGCCAAAGGATGACAGAGATACAGGAAAAAAAATGAGAAGGTAGCATGCATTCACATCGATGGCATTGTATGGTACTAAGGTGTCCTAAATAAGAACGCTGTGGTCATTACTCTGTATTTACTATAATTTGGACTACCTGTATTTACTGGGTATACAGTTTTTTATTAATCCACTTTATACTTGGTTTGGTTGATGTTTAACTGAATGGACCTTCAGAACAGCCCAGGTGTGAAGGATATTTTTAAAATATGGAGTATCTAAATAGATGCCTCAAAATCCTTCGCTTTCTGGCCTGAGGAAGTGGGACATAGTAAGGAAATGTCACTGGGAGGTATTACTCGTGTCCTTTGCAGTGGAGGTAGTAATAGTACAGCGATAGGCATTATGAACTCCAGCTACAAGTTATTTTTGGTCACGTTGCAGCATTACATAATGTGCATTATCATACAGCTTCCAAACTTTTTTTTTGCGAGCAAGCCAGGATGCTGCCGTAATAAACTCACCCCCTACGACAGTTCAAGTAAAGGGTGGTGTTGGGGAAAAGACGGAGAGACCCTGTGTGAGATGAAGGACAAATCAAGTTCGATGTGCTGTCAGTCAGGTGTCCTCAGACTGCGCCTGGCCAGCCCACAGCCTGTTTTCCTATGGCCACCCCGAGTTAAGAGTCGTTTTTACATTTTTAAAAAGCTGTCAAAAAAAAGAAGAAGAGAAGAAAATGAGACAGAGAAGGTATGTGGCCTGCAAAGCCTAAAATATTTACTATCTGGCCTTTTATAGAAAACTTTTGCCAAACCCTGCTAGAAATTATTTTTCTCAACTCTGCCCTAAAATTTAGAATGATAAAAATATAACAATTTGAGGCAATTTTGATATTAAATTTTATCCGATTATATTTAACACATGTACTCTACTTACATCTAACACAGTGCTGTATGCTGTATCTGTGTTATGGGTAAATAATCATTGAGTTTTACAACTCCTGTTGCCTTTTTTTTTTTTGTAAGTTAGCTTTTATTTTCTAATACAAATGAAACCTTTCAACTTATCTCAAATTAATCTTAAAACATTAGTAGCTAAAACTTTTAAATAGTGACCCGGTGTGTGTCAGAGTAGAACTGTGCTCCGTAGTGTTCCTGGGTGGTGCAGTTAATGTGCTCAGCTGCTAACTGAAAGGTTGGAGGTTTGAGTCCACCCAGAGGCACCTCAGAAGAAAGTCCTGGCAGTCGACTTCTGAAAAATCAGCCATTGAAAACCCTATGGAGCATAGTAAGTAAGCATACAAAGTACTAAAATATACTGTGGTTCTGTTAATACTAGCTTGGAAGTGGACATGAGAAAGGATAGAGAGAAGCAGAGTGGGGAGGAAACTTGGACAAAAGAGGGAGAATCTAAAGTGAAAGAAGGAGGCAGAGGGAAGTGGAGGCCTGAAGCAAGATTGGAGGCCAAACCTTCAGTTCTGTTGTTTTTGTTAGGTGCTGTCAAGTCAATTTCGACTCATAGCAACCCTGTGTACACCAGACCGAAACGCTACCTGGTCCTGCGCCATCCTCACAATCGTTGTTATGCTTGAGCCCATTGTTGCAGCCACTGTGTCAGTCCATCTCATTGAGGACCCTACGTTTTACCAAGCATGGTGTCCTTCTCCAGGGGCTGGTCCCTCAGTTCCCTTAGGAAGTGATTATCCTACAAGTTGACCTTCCATTTATTGCTACTTTCATTGAACATATGTGAACTTTGTACAGTTTTTTCTCCCCAATTACTTTTTTAGTTTTTCAAACATACAGAAAGGTTGAAAGAATAATTTGATGAATACCCAAATAATTGTTAATATGTTGTCATATATGTTTATCTCTCTGTTTGCTGTACATTTGAAAATAAGTTATTGGAATCATTACATTTTATCCCAAATACTTCAGCATATTTATCTTTCTTAAAAATAATCTTAGTGTATCATTTGATCAGTAACAGATTTGTTGTGTGTTGCTTGTGTGAAAAAAACAGTGATGTCTTTGATCTTTTTTCTTTCAACATTTAAAAATGTTGTGTACTGCTTGTGATAAACTGAAATCTATAATACCAAGATATTTACATTTTCTCCTTTTATCTCCGCAGGGAGGAACTGATCTGATAATTAATAGCTATGGCCCTATAATTAAAAACAACTCTAAGAAAAAGTGGCTTTTTTTCCAAGACTCTAAGAAGATGAAAGTTGAGCAGGTAACCAGCCTACATGAGAAATAGCTCTGGCAGTTCACGGTATATGACATGATTGTCAGAAAGAGAGGAAAATGTAAATCAATGCTTTACTGTAATTTCTTGGTTCTTACTGGCTATGGTTTTATTACTTTGGGACCTGACTCTTTGGGGAACCATGAGTGACCACTGAACTGAGGATTAGAATAGTAATCAGAACTGGTTTTCACGTGGAGGTGGGGGGGCGACAGTGGAAAAAGGAATGGGGCAGGACCTTTGTCAAAATCACTGAAGCAGCTTTATTTTTGACACTTCCTTTGCCCCGGGTAATTCTGACATGCCCTACTCGTCTGTGGGGGACCACTGACCCACAAAATCCATTCATAATGATGACCTTTCTCCACATACTGGGACAGTTTGCTGTCTCAGGATACATAGGATATATACAACGAGATTTACTGTTTTCTGGGAGCACAGTATCATCACTGATAAACGTCACTGACAGCGTTTTCTGTATTTTTGCTTAGCCTCAAAGAAGATTTTCTCCAGCTGTCTGCTTTTACCAGCCAGGTACTACTGTGTTAATCAGTGACGAAGACTCTTCCGGCCGCCCCAGTCAGACCACCAGCTTCCCCAGGCCCTTCGGTGCTGCGGCTGATACTGAGCACTCAGCCAATAGTGAAGGCAGTCACGAGACTGGGGATTCTGGAAGGTTTTCCCACGAGTCCAATGATGAGATACACCTGTCCTCAGTCATGAGTTCCACACCCCCGACCTCTCATCCCTTCCCTGGCAGCGATTCAGGTGGGGGTCCCGCAGTGAGCCGGTGTGAAGAGCCTGCAGGGCCCTCAGGGGCCGAGCCGACTTCCTCTGCAGTCCCCCAGCCACCGTCCACCACGCTGTGCTTTCATAGAAATGAGTTTCCCATCTAGACAGCCACGTTCAGGTATTGTCACCTGTGAGTCTGTTCGAAGGACAATGAACAGGGAACCAAAGCCTTTGGTGAAAATCTTGATGTCTTACTGGGTATTTCAGACTTTATTGAATGTGTTTTTTTTTTTTTTTAACTCACATATTTTGAATGTTTCATTGTCAGCAATGTGAATGGACAGTCAGGATCTCTGACTGGATTATAAAATATGTCACTGGAGCAAAGGGAAGACTTTGGAAAGCCCCTTTGCTGACCGTCTACCTCAGTTTGCCAAATGGCAGACCCTGAAGACAACATTGTTACCTCGTTTGTTGGTTTGGTGTGTCTCAGCTACGTAACCGATGATACTTCCTAGTAGCGTTTTGTTTTCATTGCTGTATGTGTAATACGTAATGCGTTTGATCAGAGGAGTCATATAGGTAGATGAGGACGAATGTTTATCTGAAGCTCTGATTTTTTAAAAAGAACCTGTGACACCTGCATGGTTCGGACGGTGTAACTCCTCTGACTGTGAGGACTGTAAACCACGGAGGAGAGAGAAAGTGGGACTGATATTGCTAAAAGCCCTTTATGTTTTGGGCGTCGGAGCCTGAAGTGCTCACTGCGGTATCACAGAGCTCAGCCTGCCACGAGCGTGCCTTTCCTGCCTCCCTTCTGGCTGGCGCTCGGCCACAGGCTGTGCTGTCTAGTTTCCTCAGCGTTGCCAGCGTTAGTTACAAAACTCCAGGCAGAAAATGGGTTTTTTAAAGATAATGGGTTAGGGCTTTTTTGTTTTTAATCCCAGCTTGGCTTAGAGGGGTGAAGAAATTTCATAAAATATTAAGAATAAAGATAAATACGACAGTAGACAGTAAAATGAACTTGAGGTTATCACGCTAACAGTGCCTTCCAGTATATATTATGAAATTCTTTGCCTTATACTTTTTTAATATTCATGAAGTTGTTTGGGACAAGAGTACACAAAAGTTGCCTTAAGAGTTTCTTGGAATTTATCAGTAATTATTTAGATGGACGTTTTCTTACCGTAGTGGCTTTGTTTTTTTTAGTGCAGGTTTGGTTCAGGGATAAGTATTCAGACCTCTTACCTCCCTACCTGTTGTGTGGTCTTGAGTTCTTAAGAGAATTTGGTGTCTGCATTTCCTTTTCCTTCAGTGTCAGTGCTGTGAACAAGGAGTGCTGACTCCAGGAGTGAGTTAATCCTCGTGCTGGTTTGAAATCAGCCAACTGTTTACTCAGCAACATAATACAGGCCTTCTCTCAGTCTTAAGACAGCACCTACTATGTGCCGAGCAGCACACGAGAATAAGGAACTGAAGGTGTGATGTGGAGAGGGAGCCCATATCCTTTAAAAAAAGACTCTTTTTACAGATTATCCGGAAATTACTCTTGAGCCTCACTTCAACATGGATCTTAATGAGGCTTCCTCAGAACTGTTCTTCATAGGAGGGGGCCTGTTGAATGGTATTCTAAAATGAAAAGAACATTACAGGATGTCAGTCCCACTCTATCATCTCCTCTCCCGGTGACTGAAGACAAAACATTTTCTGGATTGTTCTGTAGTTTGTGCCAAACTGGACGTGTTCAGAAGCAGACCGGCGCTAAGTGCCAGCAGCCACTTCGGAACTGACTTCAAAGACCCCCATTCAGTTCCCCAAGGATGGGCTCCATGGCAAAACGAAAAGCAGAGCTTTAGGTGAACAATCTGAGGGCAAGGGAAAAATGCTGCTCCTGCCTTTATAGCTCCTGTTCTATACTACCTCCTTTTAAAGTTATTCTAGTGTTAGTTTTTCCTGTACTCAGGGAACATTTTGTTACTTTTGAGCTGCCTCATGGAAGCATGGGCAAATTGACAGGGTATGGCGTTTTTTTTGGTTTGTAAGTAGAAGTATGTGGGGCCAACTTTTATCAGTGTCTAAAATTAAGGGGTACATTGAGATCATTTTATTTTTGCAACTTTCGTTAAAAGGCAAACAAATTAATTTTTGAAGGTGAAACATCATCCATCATGGTTATGGAAGATGTGTCTGGGACTGTATGAATTTGAATAGTTTTAAAGCCTGAAAAGATGATCTGAAGTCCTCGAGGAAAGTATTTTGATTGTTTTTTGATGGATAGGCCCATAGTAACTGTAGATCTTTAGGCTATAACTATTTGCTAATTATTTACCAGTATATTTTTCACCTTTTCATTTTGTTCTTATACAGACCTTTTCATAATAATCCTGTTACCAAAGACTTTTCAGTAGAAAGTGAAAATTTGAATATTATTTTCCCCCAAAATTGAATTAACTAGAGACATCTGTAGGTATGAAGCTTATACAAGTAGTTACTAACCCAAAGCAATAGGGTTTATACTGATTGTCGTAGTTAATTAGACTAGTAATTCTAACTACCTTATTGTTACCAGAGCATTTAAAATAAGTTGTAATAGTTTCTTTACCAGCAGATAGTTCCAAAGAATTTCAAGTGTAATTTTTTTTTCTTCAGCGAGTAAATCTTCGACTATACAGTATTAGAGTATTTTTAAATTGTTGAAACTACTTGTTGGAGAGAAAAAAAAAATCTTTTCACCAAAGAGATATATGTTGGTCTCATCAAATAAGATATTTAGTGTACAGCAAAGGCTTCTTTCTACTTGGCTAGAGCAAGCTTCTTTGAAGTCTTCAGTATAAAATTTGTAACCAGAATGTGAAGGTTGTCACTCATCTCTCACAGCGATATTGCTTCGTGATATTTCACTCCAAAGGGGCTAATATGCAAATGGTAACTATCTCCTCTTCCAAAGACTTATTTGCTGTAAGTACTGATAGGTGCATTTCATTTTTATGCCAAATATTACAAGATACTGCTTATCAGTATTTTCATACCAAAGATCACTGAAAGATAGAGGTTAGCCTATAAATACAGATGAGCAGATTTGCAATAAATTTATTTAGAAGCTGATAGGGGATCTAGCTTTAGTAGCAAAAGATATCAAAGGCTGAGTTTACATAATTAAAAGCAATACAGTTATATTGGTATTTATCAGTGTTTTTATTCAAGTACTTTTTATCAGCAAATTAAAAAAGAAAATAAACCAAAGATATTTAAGGTTACCTCCACATATAGGCAAATTTAGATGTACATTAAAACTGTTGTTTCTTGTTTTTATGTTAACCAAATATGCCTCTCCAGAACCCAGTCTGTATATGAATAGTGTACTACATCGGGACGTTCCATTAAATCTGCTGATTCATTTACAGGATGTTTTTGCCAAATGTAGAGTGATACTTTCCTAAGCACTTTGAGTTGTCAACAGAAATACCAGCAGACTTTTCCATTGCAGAACATTATGGTAACCTCTGAATTAACCAGTACACTCTTCTTCCTGCTTAAAACATTCCCTGGTTAACACAGAAGGCTTGAGGCCTCCTGGGAGCAACAGGGATATAACAGGCAAACAAATTATATCACTGTATAATCGGACTCTAATAGATGGACTCTTTAAAGTTGTCCATAAACTGGTATTTCAAACTTTATTGGAACCCTGGATGAAGCAAAAATCTTTTTTCAAGAACTTTGGAATTTTATATTTTGATTAGCCTAAGAATAAAAACACAACTTTATCCACTAAGTGACTTTAAAAAGCCAGCTTTGGCACATCAAGGAAATCAGACCCACAATGAAATGCTATATTATTAATTTGCCTTCGCTTTAACTGGAAGCATTGCTGTCACTGGGAAGAGTGACACTGATTTGTATGGGTTTGCCTTGACTTTGTTAAGGATTTCTGCCAGAAACTTGCTCATGGATGAGAACTCAGGATGGTTGTTCTTATCCAAGTCTATACGAAGACATCTTTGGGAACAATTCAGAGTGTGTTGCAAAAATACGGAATTGAAGGTATCACTTTTTTTAATGCAAGTATACACAGATGTGATTTCACTTCAGCAGTGGATGTAGTGGTTCACTTACATACGTTTATGTTTCATTAAGTGTCATTTTTGAATATTGAATGTCAGGAAGAAAAAGTCATGACCTTTCTAAAACTAAACATATTTTGCAGACTTTGTTCCTGCCAATTTGCCACATGGGCCTCTGATAAAATTGCTTTTGTTTAAAAGTCAGAATAATTTTTGTGGGCTGTGAGCACAGATTAGAGGGTTCTGGAGATCAACATACACAACTGTTGTCTGATTGTGAATTTTACTGATGTTTAGGAAAACGTAACGGTAGAATCCTGTGTTAAGTGATTTACGCTCCGGACATAAGATCACAGGCTAATGCTGTGTGTGTCTGCAGGCTTTCATCATCTCAGACAGTTCCCCTTGTGAAGCCTTCGAGGGTGTTTACAGTTAAGGTGACAGTCTTGCATTTTTATCAGACAGATACTGTATTATTTTCCTATTGCTGCTGTAACAAATTACCGCAAACTTAAAGGCTTAAAACAACAAAGACTTTCTGCCTTACAGCAGTGTGGGTCAGAAGTCTGACAGGTCTCACTGGACTAAAATTCAGGGGTCAGTGAGGCTGCGTTCCTTCTGGAGGCTCTAGGGGAGAATTCACTTCCTGGCCTTTTCCTACTTGTAGAGCAGCTGTCCCCTTTCCCCATCTTCAAAGCCAGCAGAGTGGTGTTTCACTGGCCCTGCTTCCTTCATCTCACTTCTTTCTCTGACCCCATGAGTCTAATTTTCAGAACTCCTAGGATTAGATTGGGCTCACCTGGGTAATCCAGGATAATCTCCCCATCCCAAGATCCTTAGTCATATTTGCAAAGTCCCTTTTGCCATGTAAGGTTACATATTCACAGGCTCCAGGGATTAAGACATGGACGTCTTTGGGTGGCCGTTATTTTGTGTACCCACAGACGCATTGTTTTTATGGAATTCCAATCCCCATGAAGTAACCATAGCATTCCAGAGATTGGAAGTCTGAGGTCCTGTACCTCTTGGGGATCTTTAAAATTTCAAAGCCATGAAAACCTTGGCTTGTTGCCTCTCAAATGTATACATTAAACATTCTCTATAAAACACTGCAAAAACAATGAACTAGTAAATTCAGCTTTAAACATTTTAAATATGTGCTTTGTAAAGAAACATCTCAATTCTATGTCTTAACAGAAAGTTTCCTAAATAATTACCTCTAGCTTTATGGGATTTTATCAAAAAAATTTAAAAACTGTTCATATTATAGTTAACCTTTCTCCTTTTTTTCTGAAGTGATTATGTTGTGGGGAAGGATTGAGGAGAAGACTTCAAAATATAGAGACTCAGAGTAGATGCACAGGACCATGCTCACATTTATTCTTAGTTTTCTTTTAAAATCCCATTTGCAACATGCAGCCTTTCTGCCGTTTAGATGGGGTGTATCTCTTCAGCTTCACCAGGCACTGAATATTTGGGTTTGGGTATTGGAACCCCCAGATTTTCCATCATCCTCAGCAAGAACCTCCACTTACTTCATCAGTGTGTGCATCTCCTAAGAAAATTCTTTTCTTATTGTTCATTTCTTCTTTGATTTCAATTGTCCTTTTTCCTATGAAGCTTTAGATTCCAAAGCTCAAGTTGTTTTCTAATTCCTGGATCATTTCGAGTGAAGCC